GCAGTAACTGGTTACAAAGATCCAGCTACAGGGAAGATAATATCCCTTTTCCAGGCTATGGAGAAGGATCTCATTGAGAAAGGCCATGGAATCCGGTTGCTTGAGGCTCAGATTGCCAGTGGTGGAATAATTGACCCAGTTGAGAGTCACCGTATTGCTGTTTCGGTTGCATGCAAAAGAGGATATTTTGATGAGGAGATGAATGAGATCTTAAGCTATGAAGGAGATGACACTAAGGGGTTCTTTGACCCTAATACCAAAGAGAACTTGACCTATCTTCAACTGAAGGAAAGATGCATCACAGATTCTAAAACAGGGCTAATACTCCTGCCACTCAAAGACAAGAAGAAGGCCCAAAAGGAGAGTCGCACAAATGTCCTCCGCAAGAGGCGTGTCGTAATTGTTGATCCAGACAGCGGACTTGAGATGTCAGTCAGGGAAGCCTATCACAAGCAGCTAATTGACTATGAAACTTTTCTGGACTTGTCAGAGCAGGAATGTGAGTGGGAAGAGATCACCATCAAGGGTTCAGATGGTTCCTCACGTTTAGTGATTGTGGATAGAAAAACTGGAACCCAGTATGACATTCAAGACTGCCTGGACAAAAGGATCATTGATCAAATGTCTTTTGACAAGTACCGTGCTGGAACATTAACCTTGACAGAGCTTGCTGATCAAATTACCAGCAGAACCAGCTGCAGTGAAATGACCATTGCAGCCAGCAACATTGATGACATGGTCACTTGCAGCAGCCCCACCCAAGCCGCACCATCTTCTCCTACTGTTCGTAAACGCTTCAACAGCATCTCTATTACAGTCTCCCCACCAGGAATGTTTGATGACCAGAGCCCTGTGGCGGCCATATTTGACACAGAGACCTTGGAGAAGATAACWATTCCTGAGGGGCACAGAAGAGGCATCGTTGACACCATTACAGCCCAAAGGTTRCTGGAGGCCCAGGCTTGCACAGGTGGTATCATCAACCCGGCAACTGGTGAGCGACTGTCGCTTGAAGATGCTGTCCATCAGAGCATTATTGATGAAAGCATGGCTGCTAAGCTAAAGCCAGCTCAGAAAGCTTATKCTGGTTTTGAGGATTTGAAAACCAAAAGAAAGCTTTCTGCAGCTGAGGCAGTAAAGGAGTTGTGGTTGCCATATRAGGCTGGCCAGAGGTTTTTAGAGTTTCAGTACCTCACAGGAGGCCTGATAGAGCCTGGCACTGGACGTCGCCTCTCCATTCAAGAGGCACTTCGTAAAGGATGGCTAGATGGTCAAGGTGCGCAGAAGCTGCAGGACATAGAAAACCACCAGAAAAACTTGACTTGCCCCAAGACKAAACTCAAGATCTCATACAAAGAAGCCATGGATGGCTGCATGGTGGAGGAAAGCAATGGTATGAAGATGTTGCAGGCATCCTCCATATCCAGCAAGGGAATAAGCAGTCCTTACAATGTCTCAAACCCAGGGTCTCGCTCTGGTTCTAGAGCCGGTTCCAGAAGTGGATCTCGTAGAGACAGTGTGGATTACTCCTACATGCACGTTCATCCTCCTATAAAAGAGTAACAACCTTAGGCTCTGTCATTAATTGCTAATTCTCACAAAGTTACTAAAATTTTACTACTTTCAACAATTTAGTTTTATATTTATTTCTACTGAAGATTTAGCCAGTTTCAGTCAATCACATTCTGAATGTGTTTCTTTAGTTTGGTTGAAGCTGTTTTCAGTTTTCTTTAAAACCCTCAATCTCACATTCTGATCACTATTTGTATTATTTTAACATTTTATTTAAATGTGGTGTATTTTACCAAAAATTTGAAAATTTGGTGTATTTTACCATACAACAGTCTGTATTTTCTTTTCTTTTTTCTGATTCCTGATTATCTTCTGTCAGTTGACAATGCCAGACAAAATGTGACAAAATAATGGGACAGTTTACTTGGGTTTGTTAGTCTGGAACACTTCAGGTTTGCACAGAGTTCGTTTATATATATATATA